CTTATAAAGTGCCCCTTCCTTTGCATCCTCTCAAATATACAGATTAAAGAAGCAAATCGGTAAAAGAAAGTATCCAAAGCGTAAACTGTATACTCCTTCACATTTCTGAATGAAAGAAAAAAGAGACATTATCGAAAGATTCTTGAAGATGCCATCAATGGATAATTTAGGCACTGCACGGCAATCCAGCTTCCAAATTGAGCCTCAATGTCTTCCTCAGTATCTTCCCCGATGGTGATTTGGGAATTGCTTTGACAAAGAACACCTTACTAATCCTCTTGTAAAACACCACCTGTTAATTAAATTCATACAAAACACTACTTTAATAACATTCATTAAGCGTATATATTATTATTAATGACCACATGATTAACTAATTACCTGTTTAGCTACGAAGCGCTTGACCTCATCCTCAGTTATGTCAGATCCTTTTGCTCTCACAACAAAGGCAACAGGCACCTCACCAGCACCCTCATCTTTCAGTCTGCAGAAAGTTTGTTAAAAACTAATTAATAAACCTAACCAACAGAGATGATAACTAATAAACTAATTAAGTAATTAGCTTATAGTAATTAGGCCGAGTTAAGAAATTAAACGTACGGGACAACGGCAGTATCGACGACATGTTCATGGGTGAGAAGTAAGGCTTCAATCTCAGCAGGAGCGACCTGAAAGCCTTTGTACTTAATGATCTCCTTAAGCCTATCAACAATGAAGATCTCATCATCATCATCAACATATCCAATATCTCCTGTGTGAAGCCATCCTTCCTTATCTATGGTGCTCTCCGTTGAGACCTTATCATTCAGATAGCCTGCAACATGCAATTGATTGATATATTAATGATCATATATAATATAATATAGATTTTTCTTTTTTATAAAGTTGATATACATATGGTATGCATGCATGGAGTACCTTTCATGACGTTTTTTCCTCTAATACAAATCTCTCCACGTTGGTTTCGTCGGAGAGAAGCTCCAGTGCATGGATCCACAATCTTTAGTTCAGCGTTCCTGACCACCATGCCGCATGATCCTGGCTTGGAATCCATCTTCTCCTTCGCAAACGACATGCAGAATGAGATCACTGGACCAGCTTCTGTCATCCCATAGCCCTGCAAAAACAAAACAAATTCAGATTGAGTTATTTACTTAAAAAGTTCAAGTTACATAATATATATGAAGGAAAAAATTTGAGGATAACTATGGAAATTTATGAATGATATTTTTATTTTATTTATTATTTTAGATAAATTAAAAAAATTATGTAATTATATATATATATATATAATTTAAGTATTAGATAAATAAATATTTATTTTAGTTACATAAATCCCCCTGTCAAAAATTAATTATCCACACACCTGACCGATCATGGCATTGGGCATTCTTGCACGAATGGCGTCCTCAAGTTCCTTCCCCATCGGCGCCGCCCCTGATATAACCATCCTCACTGACGACAAATCATAGACTTCACCCGCCACCCCGGTCTTCGCCATCTCCACCGCTATCGGCGGCACCAGCGGCGCCACCGTCACCTTATACTTCTCTATAACCTCCATCATTCCCCTCATATCAAACTTCCTCATTATCACCACACTCGCCTTTGCCCTCAGCGCGCAGCACAGCACCGTCACCAGCGAATATATGTGATACATCGGCAGCAAGCACAGCATCACGTCCTCACTATTGTAATATAGATGGACGTTCTGCTCACCGCCATCCACTTGTTGCGCTATGCTGGTGACCGTTCCTTTATGCGTTAGCATAACGCCCTTCGGCATACCGGTGGTGCCTGAAGAGTACGGCAGGGTGACGACGTCATCCGGGCAAAATTTGTAATCATACGTGTCTTCAACATGATTGTTGTCAGCTGGTTCGGTAAGTAAGTCGTTGAAAGGGATGGAGCCTTCGGGGGGGTTATGGCCGATGGAGATGATGGGGGTGGAGAGGGAGTTGATGGAGAGGAGTTTGAGGGCGGTGGGGGAGTCGGCGATGATGAGGCTTGGGGAGGAGGAGGAGACTTGTTTGAGGATTTCGGAGGGGGTGAAGAAGGGGTTAGCAGGGGTGGAGATGGCGCCGAGGGAGGAGATGGCGAGGAAGGAGAGGACGAATTCGGGGGAGTTGGGGAGGAGGAGCATGACGACTTGGGTGGGGCGGATGCCGAGGCGGTGGAGGGAGGAGGAGAGGCGGCGGGTGGAAAGGAAGACGTCGGAGTAGGTGAGGATGGAGGAGGTGGAGGGGTCGATGAGGCAGGGGTGGTCGGAGGGGTCGATGGTGGAGAGGTTTTCGAAGAGGTAGGTGTGGAGCGGGAGGTGGTTTGGGATGGGGATGTCGGGGAGTCTGGACCGGAAGATGATTTCTTCGGAGTAGGAGCCCATGGAGAACTTTTCTTCTGCTTTTCTTCTGCAACAAGGCGGAGGAGGAGGAGGGGTACTTTGAGCGCTCCTGAAGAGGAAAGAGGGGGGAAGGAGGGGCAATATATATTATCTTCCACTGGAAGTACTCCAACCTTTTCACGTATATGCTCATTTCATATCATATCTCTAAGAGTAAAGTCCCTCATCCGCCTGAAATTTTTGTATAAGATAAGAATATTTATTTTGAAATAATATGTATATTTATTTTATCTTGTAATAAAATTAGATTTTTAATTTTTCAATCAAAATTTTAATCATTTATTTTATTTTATTTACATAGATTTACTTTAAAAAAACACATGAGACGTGTTAGGCTGTTTGTGATTGCCCCTATTAGCTTTTACTTTGGTTGTCATTTTTTTTATTTTAAACTATTTATTTATTTTTTAGCTTTTAACTCGGTTGCCAAGTCATGCTGGCAAATGGAATTTAGGGATTGATCAAAGAGTCATATTTGATAATTACATGTGATTGAAAAGTTTGATGTGGATTTAATTGTCACGCAAGATTATACCTTATTATTAACTTATATAAAGAGTTCAAATATTTAAAGGTCAATAAAAAAATGATTTTTATACCTTATAGCAAGGAAATATATATCACATGCAGCCTCCCTTCCCTTATTTTATTCTTATTTATAAATCTTATATGATGCATTCAAAATTATATTAATTTAATTTTCTATAATTACCAATAAGAATGGTTGAATATTAAATATTCAAAAATAAATTTCGTAACCTAAAAAGAAAAATGTTAACATAATTTTTTTTTAAAAAAATGACAGTTAAGGATAACATCACAAATCATAATCTTTAAAGAAAAATCAGTTAGTCAATTATCTTATACAAGTCTAAATAGTCTTCAGCTAACGTCAATGAATAACTAGCTTTTGCTTATTTTCACACACACTATTATCACAATATTATAAACATAATAATTATAATTTATTATTCAATCACATACGCATATTTATTCATACTACTTACATTAACAATATAATTGTATTAAAATAACATTAATACTATTTTTATTTAAATCATCACAATGCAATAGTTTTTATTTTAACCATTGAAATTAATACGAAACTAATCAATCAAAATAATCAGAATAATCAGTACTACGTTATACCAAAAGTTATGCAATAAAAGTTTACTAAATCAGGAGTAAATGTAGTAAAATCAATTTGAAAAAATAATCAAATGGTAGAAATCAAAATTTTTTAAAAATAGAAATAGAATAGAAGTCACCTACTATTATCTGAAGAAATTTTGTAAAAATAGTTAGGGAAATAAACCGGTAGCCAAAACCTTGATTTCTCTTTCATCTTTTATCCTTCCCTTCTCCCTCTTCTTCATTTTTTTCCTGGGCAAGACAAGCAAGTGAGTGAGGGAGGGTTAGCTGATTGGAGAGAAAAATCTATATAAAAACTCATTTCAGTGCATGTCATTGTAATGCCCAATTAGTGACCCAACGTTGCAGCGCTACATAGAGCTATAGTGTTGAGGCACCACTCTCAGGTGCTTCTTAGTACTGTTGAGCCCGAAAGTATAAAGACGCTTTGCTCGATGCAACATTTAAAATTTTTTGAAATTTCATATTATTTAAAATTAAGGTTGTTATAACCTATGCTCATTAAAAAAAAATATCATTCCTTATATTTCTACTAAAAAATTGACAACAAATTTCTTACCAAAGCCAGCGACCTTCTCTTACCTGAGGCAAAGAGTAGAAGCAACCGATGGAGAATGGTGCGATGAAAGTCGGCGAGGGATCGGTCGCGTTCGGGGCAGTTTTCAGACGCGAGCGAAGCTATCCAAAGGAAGAGGGAAACAAATGAGAAGACAGATGGCAAAGGGGTCAAAGTAGGGTTCTTTCCGTCGAACTTTCCGACATATTAGCATTTGGTTATTACCGGCGGATAATACGCATGTAACTATTCGTCAAGTTTAAGTAAGTCGGTGCAATATTCGCAGCTTATTACCGGCGAAAATTGCACCGAAAAACTTTAAAATACTGATGAAAATCCGGCGGAATATACGCAGGTGTTTCAACAACATAAATTTTGCCCTTAAGTTACCGGCGTATATTCCGTCGGTTAGTCCGCTGGTTTTTCCAACATAACTACATCTGCCGGAAGGTCCGGCCGTAATGACATATTTTCTTGTAGTAGGTTTTCCTAGTTTCTAAAAAATTATTGAAATTTTCTCCCAAATAATTATAAGTTATGAGATTTTTATAAAATGAGTTTGAGCGTAAAAACTAAATAATTTGAGCTCACCTATTGATCCCTTATTTATAGATTTAGGCTAGGCTTGAGCATTATAAAATTTGTTACACACATTACAACAACACCAACACCAAGGTTTTATCTAGCCGCCATGTCTAGCCGGCTACATGAATTTCTTTTTTCATTGTGTCTATTAAAAGTCAAATTCACATTCCCACTTCAAGTGTATAGGTGGAAGAATAGCCCAACATCCGATTAATAGTTTTTCAAATGAAGGAAGTTGTAGTTGTCTTCTTGGGGTAAGTTTACTTATAGACCTAATGAGTTCTTCTTAATCTGATATCGATTAAACCAAGTTAACTTAATTTGAAAGAGCCATTTTGCGTTGACCTAATTTTCTATACATTTGATTGTACAATATAAATAAATGTCATAAGATGTATCAAAGCTCTATTCTTAAAAGAAAAGAAAAGAAAAGAAAAAAAAAGGGTCAACACATACACACTCTCCCAATATATGTATATTATCATGATTAGCTGGCCATTTTGCATTTGTCAACATTAGCTATTTGACTTGTTGATTGAAGGTGTTTGTTCATTATTAGCATGAGGATTGAAGTCCTCTCTTTCCAACTTGGCTAAAAATGGCAGGTTTGCAAATTTTCCTTGACTGCAGAGCTCTTACAGAAGCAAGAAGTAAACGAATACTGTCATCCTGCATTTTAAAACTGAAAGATTTTTGACATTTCATACGCAGACGACGCCATCTGCGCCTCGTGGTAGGAGTAGGTGTACCTGATCGACCTCAGACAGAATAAGCCTATATATATATATATATATATTGATCGAGACTTAATTTGAGTCCTTTTAATATCTCCATTATCTTTATTCTTTACATAAAACAAATTAAAGAGGCCATTTCATAATAATTTTTCAGGCAGCATTTAAATACAATACTTTAATAAGAATTTATTATTGTCATATGCGCCGGGCGGTAGTTGGGGTGTTAAAACGAGTCCGTGAGTCTGGGTTGAATTCGGATTGACCCGGGTTTAAATGGGTTGACCCTAACCTGATCCAGTTTTGCAAAAGAATCATAATTGTCAACCAGACCCGACCCGTGCGGATTACCAGGTTGACCTGACACTACCCGCCATCACACTATTTTTGAATTCAGTAAAACTGGTAGGCGTGTTAGGAGATGCAG